CAAATTTGTTGCGATAGTCCAAGTTCGCGTTGCGATTTATTACAAATTCGTTGCGATAGTCGAAGTTCGCGTTGCGATTTATTCCAAATTCGTTGCGATAGTCCAAAATCGCAACGACCGGTGATATTGCATTTGTTTCTTAAGAATTTTTTCTAAAAAGATAGTATTCGCGTGGACGTGTCGAAGACACGTATTACCACGACCACGACCCGAGACGAGACGAGACGGACGGCGGCGGCGGCAACGCGCGAGAGTCCCCCTTGTTCTCTATCACTCAACAATGAAGTGGAAAAGCCAAGCCTTAAATAACATTCCCAATAGTGTTTCCAATACTATGTGGGATTGAGCATTACCAACACTTGTTTCCAATACTATGTGATTATTGAGGAAACAATTAACAATCATGCACCTTAAAACAACTGAATCAGCAACCAATTGCATTAGCATTATACGATTAAATATGTTATAATTAAAAGTCAATCTACAATCAATCGCGATTATTGCAATTTTAAGCAAAACGTTCAAAAAAATTGCATCACTCGCGAGAATAAAAAAAATTGTTATTGTGCAATTACAATCAATTGAAAATAAATTAGAATTGTATGAAAACTAAACGAACCACAAATACTTTTCATACAAATACTAAAGTCATTAACTATAATTCACAAATAATATCACTATTTAAGGCTCAATCCCACATAGTATTGGGAACAAGTATTGGTAATGCTCAATCCCACATAGTATTGGAAACACTATTGGGAATGGTATTTAAGGCTTGGCTTTCCCGCTTCCTTGTTGAGTGATAGAGAACAAGGGGGACTCTCACGCGCCGCCACCGTCCGTCTCGTCTCGTGGTCGTGGTAATACGTGTCTTCGACACGTTCGCGCGAATACTATTTTTTAGAGAAAATTCTTAAAAAACAAATGCAATACCACCAGTCGTTGTGATTTTGGACTATCGCAACGAATTTGGAATAAATCGCAACGCGAACTTCGACTATCGCAACGAACTTGGAATAAATCGCAACGCGAACTTCGACTATCGCAACGCGAACTTGGACTATCGCAACGAATTTGGAATAAATCACAACGCGAACTTCGACTATCGCAACGAACTTGGATTATTGCAACGCGAACTTGGACTATCGCAACGAATTTGGAAAATCGCATTGCGATAGTCGATGTTCGCGTTGCGAATCTGAAAACTTATTTGCGATACCATAGATCGCGTTACGAATTATCGATCGCATTGCGATTTAATTGGTCATTTTGGCAAATCCAAAAAAAATTGGTTAAAATCGTATATTATAAGGCATTTTTTGTCACGAGGTTATTAATTCTTATTTTAATTATTGGCTCTGGTTATACATGATCAGAATGATGGTGATCAGTGCATGGAGACACAGTTGAGTATATGTGGATACATGTTTATTTAAAATTTGAATTTTTTAGATTAATTAATAAAATATTTGAATTTTTTAGATTAATTAATAAAATATTTGATTTTTTTAATTAATTACTTAATTTTTTGATATTATACACCTTAAAAAATTTTGTGATCACTCTAAAATTTTAATTTATTTCAATCAATTACTTATTTTATAAATAATACTTACTTTAAAACTTTATTTATACTTATTTTATTTAAAAATTTTATGTTAATAATTTATGTGTATTTACTTTAAAAGAATATTTTTAGATCGATGTTTGGGGTGAAATATGGTTTGAAATCAATACATTCCATCTTCTGCCAAAAGTTACTAGAGGAGTACAACGATAATGAGAATTCAGCGATAGGCATAGTGTTTGAATGGTTAGGTTAATAAAGGCGCCAAGTTGTGCCGACTTTGGAAATGCATCAATCAAATATGGGGTTGGGTGTTTTCTTCTTAGGTTTGGGTTGGGCTCAGACCTACTCCAACACACTGATTCATAATTGAATTAAGAGTTATGCTATAGTCACAACCATTATTGATAAACCGCAAAATTGTCACTGTATCCTTAATGCCCATTACAATGATGATATAGCATATTAACAAAAATGTAATATAGTACATGGGGTTAGATCTTTGATGAACCGAGGTTCCACAATGAAGCGAGAAAAGAAGAAAACCTCCTCTTCAGATGGTGGTGGCACGTAACTTTCAGACTCTCGTCTTGTGCAACATTCTCATCTACTTGCTTTTGCTCTTTCACATCCTCCATGAGATGAATGAACTACTTGCAACTAGGGCTGTAATACAGTACATGGCGTTAGCTCTTTCGCATCTTGAGTTACTCGAGATCGATTCGGTCCAAGCTCGATAAATACTCGATTGAATGGACTCGACTCGAGTTCTTAACGAGTCGAAACAAGCTACTTGATACTTGACTCGAAAATCTCTTGAGCAAGTCAAAAATATAATATATTACGATTTTATTTTTTAAAAAATAAATTATTAATAATATTAACATTTATGTGTTGATTTTTTTAAATACACTATAAGGTTTTCATGTATTTAAAGTTCAGGTTTGAATTTGAGTTTGAAGCTTCAATCGAGTTAAGCTTAAGATTTTTTTTCATTTAGAGCCTTTTTGAGCTTTTACGAGCTTCAATTCATGATTTTGAGTTCAAGTCAAGTTTGAAATTTTAGGCTCGCGAGTTTTCGAGTCGAGTCAAACTTCGTTTCAGAGTTTTCAAGTCTAGTCGATCTTAGCAATACTCAAGTTCAACTCGACTCACTTACGGCCCTACTTGCAACCACCCAACCAAGAGCACCTACGATAGCACAAAAATAATTTGCATAGAACTTCAGTAATGCTGAAACTTTACCAGATTATAAACATCAACAGAAAAAAGGGAGGGGGGGAAAACAATACTCTCATTAAATCGATGAGATTTCCAATGCAGATCGACAATTATGAAATCTTAAATCGATGAGATTTCCAATGCAGATCGACAATTATGAAATCTTCATAAACCAGAGCTGAATATCATCCATAAGGCTACGGTGCAAGTAAATACAGCTCTCACTGAGTACTCATATATACTCAGTACCGCTTAGTCAGTAGCAGATCTATAATTTTTTTTTAGGATGGACACACATATATTAATAACATAAAATTTTCATATGAGATAGACATAAATAAAATTTTAAGGTGGACACCCTAAGTAAAATAAACTACTAACATAAAGATATTTAGATTTCAGTGTGGACACGTGACTACCTGGACCAAATCTTACATCCGCCGCTGCGCTTAGTATTAACATAATCCAAAAATCATTGCGCTACTCCAGTTGAATGAGCACCGAATAATAATTAAAGGAGTTCAATATATACATTAAAATCCAAAGAGAGAGAGAGAGAAAACCCTTGAAATTCATAGATTATATACGTATCGACACTGATAACAAATACTAAGCATTAAATCTAAATAATTTATCGCAAATAAAATGAGATACTTAGAAATTTTAGGTTAGAACACCAATGATAAGGTATTTGAGTATTTATTTTTGAAAATTCAAAACAGATATTATCATTTATAATCACCCTATATTAATAATTATTAATATCAGATAGTTACGTAAAGCTACACGATTTAGTTAAAAGCCTATGAAATCCAATACCTATCGGCCAATCAAACAAAAGTATAGAAAATTTAAGGCATAATAGCAAAATTATTCTCAACATTTGCAGAAATTGTCACTTTACCTCTAATCCATCTTTTGGAGCATCTTAGCCCTTAACATTTCATCTTAGAGTAAAATGTTCATTGGTTAAATAAAAATTATTAGTTGACTAATTGTCAATGTTTCATGTGAGATGTGACAAGTACATATGTGATGTCACTTCAATAAAAAAATTTAAGAGTAAACTATAATTATAATTAATTATATATAAACTTATAAAAATATATTTACAAATAGTTTTAATTTTTTTACTGACGTGGCAACATATGTGGACCTGCTACATCAATAGGAAGTATTGATCGTTAGTCAACTAATGATTTTCATCCCTAGGGGACATTGGGGTAATTTTATTATTATGCCAAAATTTAACTAAGCCATGTACTTGATTACATTTTTTTCTCTTCTCTGTAGTTCTATTGCTTTCAAATTTTAGTTAAAAGGATCATTTGTTAAAGGATTAGAATTGTGTTTTAGTTATAGTTTAGAGACCAAATTAGACGTTAATAATTTTTATTAGCGTGCCACACTGTAATATACAATTAGAGATTACTGACAGTGATCATATTGCAATTGATCAATAACGCTAGTGATCATAATATAACTTTGGAAAATTTAATGATTAAAAATTAATTAAACTCTAGTGACTATGAGTGTAATTTACCCTTAAGAAGAAGAAAAACACAACTCATTTAAGGGCTCTTTAAGCTATGCCAATAAAAGTGGCACTATTTGCATAAGAACCAGCATGGAATTCTTTCCATTTTTTACTAAAATATAGATATAGGTAATATTTAAACAATATTTAATTAAATATCAAATTAAAGTCACCTAATTTCAAATTATTTCACTTTTCAATCCGTAAAATTAGCACGATAGATCAGGTATGTAGAAAATTTGCCCATAAAAGCATCTTCAAACTAGCCTATTTACCATTTTCAATCTCAACTGCCGAAGGTTTCCATCCAATCCTTGAACAGTACCAGGCTAGCAGAATACGAATAATTAGATCTCATAATTGGGCCCTCAAAGACTGTTTTGGGATAATTTTTTGGGGCTTGAGCCCATCAAAGTCACCTTAGATCTAAACCCGACTCACGATTCAAGTTAAACCCAAAGCCACAAGGGACTGAAGATTCAAACAAACTAACCCTAAATCATTTTGCCTATAAAATGAAAAATGTGATGTTTATCTCCAAACCGAGGCAAAACATTCTTCTACTGTTTTCTCCCCGAATTAAAAAAAATGCTAGGAAGCTGTGAAGCTAGATTTCTTTGTGTGCTTTCGTTCATGGTGAGGTATTTGTGGTTAAATCGATGCATACGAAGGATTTTTCAGTGATGGTTTCAGTATGATGACGAGTCCGATGCTTTTCCATTCTTTCAAAACGTTACGACAAATCGAGGCATTTGTCTGAGAGAAATCCTCCTAAAGTGAATGATCTCCATTTTTCCCAGATATATATGCCATTAACTAGATTTATTAGTTTGGGTTGATTTTTATTGGGTAAACTACGTATTTAGTACCTAAATTATTGTTTTTAATTTATTTTAGTATCTAAATTTTTATGTTTTCAAAATCATACACAATATTTAGTTTTTATTTGATTTTAGTACTCTCCGTTAAAAAAATTACGCGTTTAGTATCTAAACTATCAATTTTGGTCCGTTTTAGTATTTAAACTTTCAAAATTTAACATTAAAATAAAAAAAACTAAAGTTTTTACCGGTGAGATACTAAAATATAACAAAAACTAAACTTTAGTTATGATTTTTAAAAAATTAAAAGTTTAGGTAATAAAACAGACTAAAACTGATAGTTTAGGTACTAATTACATAGTTAACCCATTTTTGAGGTAAACTGCATTATTTCATTGTTTGGGCTGGGTTATTCCTGTGAAGAGATTGTATAGCGCTTATAGTTAGGCTTTGAGCCTTTTATTCATGGGGTTATCTTAGCAAGGCCATAAATATTTATTCATAGAATAATTCACATAAAGGTTTGGTCAAAATCTGGCATTAGTCCTTGGATACATAACAGTTGTATATTTGGTCATTATATTAAACTTGGTCTATTTTAATCCTATACATTTCAAAGTTGGAAATTTCAGTTCCGGATCAAACAATATAAGGACAATATAACTAAATTAAAAAAATTTAAAATAATAAATTAAAGAACAATAACTAAATCTATTGTTTTCAAACTATGACTAAAAGTTTGAAATGTTTAATTTAGACCATTCAACTATGATTGAGATATGTTTATGTTGGATTGTGGGTAAAATTTCTTCATATTCAATTATTTATCTAGAAATGTCTTCTTAAATGCTGTGAAAATGTAAAATAAGATATGTTTAAGATGAACTCGGGTTAAAAAATTAAGATAATTTAGATAAATCATTGGAGTCAAAATATTTCATGTCTTCATTTCATTTATTGTTGTTGCAGTCGACACTGCAGGGACCTCGCGTGAAACTCATTTAGACGATCATGCTGAGCTGGAACATTCCAGTGAGATGGAAGGAAGGGGTGAGCTGGATCATTTGGTTGAGGAAATCCCTGGATTACGTCGAGGAAGGAGAGAGAGAGAGAGAAGAGCCCCAAAGGCATTAAAAGATTTTGTCAGGTTCTGAATGATAGTGAATAAATAGGAAGCTGATTGTAAACAGAAGGGACTACGAAAAAAACTCTAAAAAAGTATTCCTTCTTAATCTAAGTTTCTCCTCCTCTCTACCTATTCTTTTGTATTTTCCTGCATTCTCTGTGTGGTATTGGGAACCACAACAATTATGCACACATGTGCATAAAACAAATGTTTTTGTCGATCCTCAATAACTTGAAATCACAATCCAATAATTTGATTTGCTTCAAAGGGCCTACCAAATGTGCATGACAACCGTACACTGTTTATTATTGAAAGAAAAAAAAGGTCAGAGAGCTTCATGCTCTTGCCAGTGGAGGAAGCTTCATGGGAATGCTCCAAGGTTTTTCTACCAAATGTGCGTTGTTGTTATTATTATTGGATTTATTTAAAATAAATAAATATTTTAATGATATATATATTTTTGTGTTATATGTTTAAAGTTTCTTTAAGAAAAATAAGTGCATAATATATTATTCTGTTTCTATTTTTAATTTTTTTGTTAGTTTTTATGAAAGATATTTCATTTAAAAAAATACCCAATTAATATGTGCCGTGAATCTTTTTTTTCATCTTCTTTCATATTTTATTTTTCTTACTCTTTCGTTTTTCTTTCATTTTTTAGATAAATGAACTTATCAAATAACCTAAGCAGTAAAAGATAATGTTATTCTTCTTAGAGGTTATGGGTTCGAGTAACTGTGTCTATAGGATATGTATATGTTGTCAATTAATTAAATTTTTTTTAAATAAATATTATCTTATAATCATTTCAAACTATTAAAAATATAAACAAACAAAAAAGTAAGAAAAAATTGATAGACATAACTCAAAAATACCGAGGCTAAACAGCTCATTAGAAAAATAAAATGAATAAATCAATTGTCATTTGATTTTGATATAATAAAATAAAATATTAAATCGTTTAAATATATTTTTATAATAAGTTTTTGTGAAATTTTGTTTAAATTATTATTTAATAAAAAAATATTGATTGTCCTAGCTTCGACAATAAGGAAAGCGCATAAAATAATAAAATGAAATAAAGGACATGACCGGCGTAAGAGGAGGCTTTGCCGCTTTGGGGTCGAACCCACGGCAACCGAGCAGCGGCAGACCCAGATCATGTTTTTTCTGTTGGCACTGCGTAGTTGCATATAAATTATTTGAATTTAAATTAACAAATCGGAATAAATTTTATAATTTGTTCAAAGTAAATATGAATAAACTCAATACAAATTGAATATAAGATTAAAGTGTCGTACCAAAACAAGGTTGATAGTTTGGTCGTATTCAAATTCTTCAATTGGCCTTTAGTTTAGAAGTAGCAGTTGGATGTATTCATGAATTGTAGTATCGTATCTATAAATTACAAGAACAAATCAAGATTCAAAGTATGACTGGATTTGATTAATAAAATACATTAATATTAGATAATTCATTTGAACTGACAATTAATGCTAACCCCAGTGGCATTGTTCCTTCATAACTTATTAACAATAAATCATTTAAGTTGAAAGTACATAATTTCAAAAAAGAAGAGAAAAAGAGAACATTCTAACAAAAGAAAAAAAGAACGACAGTGAAAGTGCAAAGTAAAAATAAATAAATAATCTTAGAAACGATTATGTCAAGGACACCGATCCTCAATACTTATACCTGTCACCACCACCACCTTACAGGCTAGCAACCGAGAAAGTTTATGTGTCGCATATTTAGTATACGATTAAGAAAATATATTATTAATTTTATTATTATTTTTTAATAAAATTGGTAAAAATTATTAAAAAAAATTATTATTTCTATTGATTTTATTATTATTGGATATTTTACCGATTTTGTTAACATATGTGATAAAACGCTATCGATTTTATTATTTTTTTCTACCGATTTTGTTATTATTGAACACTTTACCGAAAATATTAAAAAACATTAATGTTTTAAGTAAAAATAATAATTTTTTAAATAATTTTTTATCGATTTTATTAAAAAATAATAACAAAACTAATAACATATTTACCATGCGAACCAATGCGTTCCCATAAAAATGCTTATTACCATGTCACGACAAATTCCTACGTGGCAACATGGTCCAATTTCCTCGGCCCCTTGTTTCTCTCCTCTATATAAACTTCTCCTTCCCTATCCCATTCATGAACGAATTCAAAGCAAACTCAAAAAGAAAAAAAACAACTGAGTTTCAGTTCCAAAATAACAACAACATCGACATTACTAAAAGAATCTAGGAATCCGAAAATGGGTAGTTTTAGTTAGTGCGATTTAACACATGTAGCAACGGATAAACTGATACTTGAGGACGGAAGGTTACAAGAGTTCCCTTATCCAGTTAAGGTTTCTTATGTACTGCAAAGGAACCCAATGCGTTTCATCTGCAACTCAGATGAAATGGACTTTGATGACGTCGTATCAGCTATCGAGGAAGAGGAGGAGCTTCAACCCGGTCAACTTTACTTCGCTCTGCCCTTGGCTTGGCTTAAACATCCTTTACAAGCCCAAGAGATGGCCGCATTGGCTGTCAAAGCCAGCTAAAGTTCTAGGACTGAAAAATTGTTATTCCTTTCGCGTTCTCCGACGACTCTCCTCGCCGGAAAGTTGCCTCCCCCCTCAGCGGTGATGGTGATGAGAAGAGAGGGAGGAGAAAGTTCAGGGCTAAACTGAGTGATATTCCAGAATAGGGAGGGGGTCATTTTGGGAAATAACGGTGATATATTTGTAAATATATATGATATTGAGCTTATTTCTGTCAGATCACTGGTGGAAATACAGGTGGTTGACCTTCATTCTGATGCAAGTAACTTAATTTCACAATTCAGCCCCCTTTCTTTACACACTTCAGTTGCCCATGAGAGGGTCGCCTTACAGTTTTACCCTATTTGGGTTCGAGTGAATACAATAATTAGTGCGTCATATCTAAAGCCTAAACATATATTTTAAATAAGGGTAAACCAGATCAATTTCATTTAATTAAAACCCGGTTATTTTAATTTATTTTTTCCCTAACAATAGTTAAACTTTTGATAACTAAATATTTAAAAATTGATAAAACAAATAACCACATCTTAATTAAATAAAAATAAATAAAATCACATCTTAATTAAATAAAAATAAAAATAATTAAATATTATATTTTTTGAATTCAGTGATAAAAAAAAAAAATATAAACTTAAATGAAAGTAATTTATCCGTTGAACAAATGCATTATACATGATGAATTTTAGCACACGTATGATAATGTGAGAAGTATTTTTATTAAAGTTTATTTACTTTTTAGAGTTATAAAACTTTAATTAGTTTTTTTATTTTGAGAAAAAAAACCAAAAAATTTAATTACTAAATCATAGATGGATTCTAAAATATCTGTTAATTTTGAATATTTAAAAATTATTTTAATATATTAAAATAAAACAACAATTTTACTATTATTTATTATCTTAAAATATATTTTTTATTTTTCTTAATTGAATTAGTACTCACGAGAAAATTTCAATTATGAAGTTAAAATGACTAAAGATGTGCACTTAAAATTAAGAATTGTTCTTTTAAAATTAATATAATAATAAACTTAAAAAACATATTAAAAAAAGTTAAAAGAATAAAAAAAAACCTTGACCGACTTCGTACGTTACTGTCTGCGTAAAAATATTTATAAATGGAAAGGTTTTCTTGAATAAAAAATGAGTTTAAAAATTCAGTATTTTATAAATAAATTATAATTATTAATATTAAATTTTGATTGACGTGCTATTACGAAATATAAAATATAAAAATAAAAAAATGATTGCATCAGCAATATTCTATGTGGGGGAACCTGAGATTCACTCAGCTCGGGGCTGATGCATCATGTTGCTGCTTACCAAATGTCTCTGGGAATTGTTAAGATTTTTGTTTGAAAATTTCAGATTTGCTGGTGAGAATGACTTCTCCTTCTTCGTGGAAACTTCATTATTTGCCCACTTTGATTGGTTTTACATGAGGCAAGGAATCGCAACTCGCAACTAACAGCACGAGTCTGGATTTTCAGATCTGTGTTATTTGGATATTAAAAATATGAAGTATCCATAAATTTCAATTTTTCAGATAGCTACTTTTTCGTCTTCTTTTAACCTTAAAGCTGGTAGGGACTTTGGCACTTACCAAGATCGGCATAGAATGAAAAGACGTGTAATAATTGGAGATATACTCAAAATTAATAGTTTGCACTGCATGTATTTGATGGTAATGTGTATGTAATAATTGGAGCTAAGCACTAAAAGTCGTAGTTTGCATTGGATGTATTGACAATATTGTTATCACATACGCTACCATGAAAGTTCGAAGAGAATGTTCATTTCAGTTAATTTTACCCTAATGTACTTCAGCTTGTTTGAAGCTCATATATAGCTGGAGCTCCGAAAGTGGTTTGAAATTGAGCACATGTATTACCCACATTTGGATTTCAAGGTTAACCAAGTCAAGCTAACACTATCATTGAAGACAGACAGCTTGGAGGAATCCTATGGCAATTCATGGTGAAGAATTAATTTCAAGATTTTTTTAAGTAAACAAAACAAACCACCCATACGTACGTTGCCATCATTTCATATACAAGTTGGTGTGGTCCTGCACAATAGTAGTACTTATCCACTTCATGATCATAAATGCCTCTATTCATTTGGAAATTGGAGGTCGTTGGATTAAAACTGCAACTTTCTTATAATATAAGAACCGGTGATTGAATTTGACTTATTATTAGGGTTCAAAGGTAATCTTATCTTTTAATTTCTCTCATCAACATCATGTGCTTCTTCCGTGAATTGTGATGATTTTACTGTATCTTACACCATTTTTTTAATAATACCGTATCTTAAACCAATATCAAAACCAGCAGGCACTTTTGCTATTCACCATTATTTTTGTTATTATCTTTATGTACTTGTTGTAGTGAAAGACAAGCAAAGGAAGATACCAACCCTACCAAAAAAATATTAAAAGCAAAAGAGTTGAATATGTGATCACCTTTTTCACTTTTGGATTAGCAGAAATTATCTAACTTAATTTAAGCATTGGCCCCTGTGTTATTGCCATTCATGGCTTCAACTACCTTGAATTAGTGCTGATGAGTTTGGATCCAGTTGTTTCTCAAATTATTTCCTTTTTCTTTTATGTATAGCTTCATAAATAATTCCTGGTTTTGAGTTTTGTTCAAAGAATGATTATGGAATGAATTATCACAATCAATAGGCTTAACCTTTACACGTTTCAGTTATTCAATTCAATCGACAAATTAAACGTCTAATTGTCCATCCTTCTCTGCTAAGAAAACTATATGCGTATTATATGTATATCTTATCCTCTGTCCTTACTATAATTTTAACCAAATCGAGCTCTGGTACCTTTAAAGTTTTTTTTTTTTGAAAAATGGGTACTTTGTATTGAATATCTCAAAGTACATCACCCAAGGATCTCATTAAAAAAATCTCCCTAAACTTAAATAGAGGAAAAAGAGTGAACATTGGGGTGAAAAGAAGGACAAGAAAGATCACCACTAACAACACAACGAAACCCGAAAATACTCCGCTAGAATAGCACATAACAACTACCCATATGTCACTACAAACACCCCTGTAGGAAATACAGCAAGGAACTACACATATCCAAACATTGAAACAAACCCATGCTACATCCCAAAAACCAAAGACCGAAGAGCAATGGCTATGAAAGGAAACAAGGCAAAATTCCACAACTGATAGTTCACAAAGAGAAGAAAAGGCTGGAGCGAATCTCACTGCACCATTAAGCGTAACCCCAACTAGACTACTAGATCAATTCTGAATGGTGCCAACACCAAACGAGAAAGCACCCAACAAAGCGAGCACTATAGTACCCAACGAGAATTCAACTTACTCTCTGCACCAAAAAACAGTGCTGAAATCTTTAAAGGAAAGACCAGACTAGAAATGAACTTCAAGACCGAGCAGCAAACAGTGAGAATCCAGAATAGGATCACTAGCTGACATGATCCACCCTAAGATGAAGCTGAAATCGCTAAAACGCAGCACCAAAAATCACCAATAACAAACACTACGAACTAACTCTTTCGGATTTCGACTAAAGCCAGACACCGCTGGAAACAACAACGCCCACAAGAGATTCGACCATAACCCAATCAGAAGCAAAGCTTAAATGAAAAACTGATCAGCCGACAAGTAGCACCATTAAATATGAAATTATTACAACAAGACAACCAATACTGGTCGAAAGCAAAACCAGCAACAATGGGATGTAACGAAACAACATCTGAAACCAAAATCACCAAGCCATAAAACTGATCTACAGCGAACACAACAACAATGGGAAGGAACCTAACAACAGCAGAAACTAAGATCACCAAATCTGCTATCAACGTTAACGACACACCATGACAACATCAATATTCACCCCAACACACAAAACACATCATTCAAAACTCCCCAACGCCATTGGATTAATTCAACAAATAAGCATTCCCCTTCAAATGCTTCATAGAACCTGGAAAAACCACACATAATGCTCCACCACTTTGGAAACTGCATATCAAGACTAAAATAACAATTAAAATATGGCGTAAACCGATCTCCCCTGTGCACATAAACAAACACTGCTATGAAACACAAAAACAATGAATGGTTCCCCTTGGTCAAGCCATAAACCCAAACTTTGGCCTCCTAAAACCTCCTGCAATACTACAACTAACTCACCAAACAATTAGAAGACCACTCAAATCTACACCCTGAAAGTGCTGGAAAAACACGCAAACAAACAAAAATTTAAATCCCATAAAGAACAAAGCCCTCCCGAGGCACCTACAACATATGCCGAAAGTAAAAGCCAGAGCCATACAACCCCCATACCACCTTTCTGCCAATATTCCACTAACCACAAAATACCTCTGACTCAACGCCTTAAACTACACAACCCCATACCAGCTTTCAAGGGGCCAGTACCATCTGCACATGCCTTTATGAAACCAGAAACGACGCCATACGTCGGTGATTACAAGCCACGAACCACCATCAACCAAGGATCCGACAATGAAAGCACAAGCCTTACAACATTGCTGAACTTCCAACGGAAACAACTCCCAAAACACATAACCTGCCAGAAACTCAGACCAGGACTCAAAGGCCCCTCAAACGACACTGCAACCAAGGATACAACTCTTCACCAAGGAGCGGGCAGAGAACAGCCACTAAAATCAACACCAAAAAAATTCAACAAGGCAAATCACACACAAGAGCTAAAAGACGAAGGAGAGGAAATGACTATCAAACGAAACCACTCACTCTAAACAAGCTAAGAGGCGAAGAAAGGTAGCAACGACGACGAACACCGACCATGCTGCTTAAAAGCATACTTATTGAAATGAAAGAATAACTAAAGAAAGAAAAGGATCGGCGGCCAGTAGATACATGTAATTTTGGTGGTGTACATGTTATTTTATGTCACAAAATTAACAAGTATAAATAAGGGATCTTCTTGAACAGAAAGAGAGGTCCACACTCTTGCATCCCATAATGTGGATCTTGTCCAGAAGCATGATTTTTTTTATTGGATGCACTAAAAGCTTTTCTGATACAGTGGAAAAAAAAAT